ATATCAGATAACTAAACTGAGCTCTGGTCATTTAAGGACAAATCATCAGTATTAGTGTATTACCCTGAGTAATCACTTGTTACATCTCCTTAGTTTCTATTTCCATTTATACGACCTTTTTGTTTTTTTAAGCTGGTATTAGGATCAAGACAAATTAACAAAGCCTACAGTTTCCTAGACTCTAATTGACCAACAGAGGGCACCTATATATGCTACATAAATAGCAGTTTTGAAGCACCTCTTTTAGGTAATAATCCTTATAAAACAAGATAGGAACTGCTACTAATACTATTAGAACAACAACAAAACCTTCTATGAGGTGCATCATTAGTTCAACCTATGAATTTGGTAGAATGACCCCATTCTTCATGCTTACACTAATTATTAGCTTGTGAGGGATGAAGTTGTGATGGATCAACTCATTCAATTCCACCGACCAAACAAAAATGTAAGGAGTGAGAAGACAATGAATCACTCCCCATCCTCACACCAAACACCCTATTAGTCCAAAGTAAGTAGGGGTACACTAGAGTTGAAGCCCAACATGAGCTATCAACTCATAGACGTGCTATTCAGGGCTCAGATAAACGTGGTTTGGCTCCAAGGAAGAGGCTCAGCACGAAGAGGAAAACTTCAATCAACATCAGTTCCAAGAATACTCACGATCGGAAAAAACTTGTTCTCCTAAAATTTGGTTAGGTAGTACTATGTATGAATTGAAGGGCGGGCCTGGTGCAAGCGATAGAGTCTTACCGCCTGTGACCGGAAGGTCCCGGGTTCGAGTCGCGGTCTCCTCACATTGCACAGGAGAGAGTAAGGCTTGCCACTAACACTCTTCCCCAGACCCCGCACAGAGCAGGAGCTCTCTGCACTGGGTACGCTCTTTTTTTTTACTATGTATGAATTATGATAGGGCAAGACAATTCTATCTGGATAGTAGCCTTTTTCCGGTTCACAAAAGCAGTGTATGTATACAAAATGACAGATGTACAAAATCTTCATCAGGATGGATGTGCAGCAACAGGCCAACAGCCACGCCTTCCGCTCAACTCAAGCATTAGAACATACTTTCTCTGGGAATGATGGTTAAAAAACATGGCATTAGCACCCAAAAAAAAACAAGGAAGTTTCCTTGGAACTGCCAGAAGCTGATGCATTGTTTTAATTTAAGAGAAGCTTGTACCTTTGGAACTGCTGCAGCACAACCGGTCATCGTCCACGTAAGTTGCATTCAGTCCCATCATCCATGAACCTACTGATATGTCGTCGTGTGCATAACTCTGTAGTGATGCACTGTGTGACAGAGAAGACAAAGCTGAGGTGAAGAAAGACCTGGTTGGCAGAAATAAAGCACCAGAAAAAGGAAGAGCTTCTGTCCAGACAAAAAATTGGTCCTTGCATCTTGAAGATAACGGTGACATTTATCCTTTGACAGAATATGACATGATGTGTGTTCTTTAGGAAGTAAATTAAAATAGCATTCTACTCAATGACTCATTGATAATTCATACCCAACGGGTATTCAGTAATAATTATTTGGATAACTACCATGGCAACATACGATAGGGATTTAGATATAAGAAATTAAAGTTGAAAAAAAAGATTAGTTGTCTCATCCACCACAAAAGATTCAGCCCAAATGTCACATTCAGTCTGATGTAATCCAACTTCTGCATCAGCATAAGATGTTCTGCACATTCAAAAGCTCAGGGACTGTTGCACATACTATTACTCTAGCTAACTAGGATGGTGTTGCTCAAAGCCGGTGTAACTTGGTATTGGTTAAGATGAAACAGGGAAACACAAATGACATATCACTTACTTATTTATGTTGATGTAGCGTGCCAAATTTTTTGAGAGGATAAACAAAGAACCAGAAGCATGTCGAAAATACCTGTTTTTATGAAATAAAGTGAATCAGTCGGTGAAAATGAAAAAAGCATGACAGAGACTGCATCTTGAACGAAAAAACCTAGAAACTTGTCACATATGAGTCCACCCCAAGAAAACGGCCCCTAGAGGTTAAGTATGTACTTATACCAAGGAAAAAAACAAAGAATATTACTGAATAACAACAAGTGCAACAATTGTGCTGAAACTGAAAGTGCTGGGTAGTGGTTCCAATAGTTGGTGTCACTCTTGTTAGAGTATCTTTGATAGTGTAGGATTGTAATTTGATATTGCCATATGTATTTGGGGCCTGGGAGGCAATTTGCCCCCCAAGTCTCTGTACTCTATATACTGCCCGAGAGGCTCAATACAATATATCCCACGCATTATTTCGTATCTACTATGCTTTCATGGTATCGCAAGTTTAGGTTTCGTTCCTGAAGCCTCAGGCTTCCCGCTATCATCACCATTGCGCCACCCCTGGGGAGATCGATCTCTACCGGGGTAAGCACCCTTGTAATTAGGTTGGGCTGATCTAATTGATCTGCCCTGTGTATCAGCATGGGGCGGCAGCAGGCCAGCAGCAAGCATCCTCCACTCTGTGTTGTCAGGCTAATCTACCACGGGCATTGTAGGACCACGTGACCGTCTTGCGCCAATTGCGCCACGCCGTGGCCACAACATCGGCACACTGACTTTTGGGTCACATCATGGCTCACCATGCCAGGTTAGATGTTGCTGCTGTTTTTTTTTTCAATCAAAGATTGGGGTTGTGTTTCCCTATCTACCGATTCCTCGACATTGGATCGTCGACCCTCCCAAGATCGAGGTTGTCGTTGCATGCCCTCCCAGGCAACGATGATGTTGCTCGTGGTCATACTATCTTCATGGTCCGCCTATCCAAGCTGGCACCACCCATGATGTCAGTCCTCCTCAAGCTAACTCTGGATCCGAGTCCGTGCTTATTCCCGCCACCTCCGGAACATCACCACTAGTGTCACTGACGGATGATGTGTGGGCGCTTATTGTTACGTCCAAGCAGCCCAATCTACGTTCACCATTTGGTCGGCTCATTGTCCTGCTGCGGTCATTGTCAAGAAGCTGGTGATTATGTGTACTCACGTGCCTATGTTGATGCTTCGGACCTGCGCCTCGATCCCTCCACAGCTCTGACCACATCCACCTTGACCTCGGCTACTTCGTTGACAAAACGGGCTATCGTTCGAAGCTACTCGTCAGTTTTCACTCCAATCACTACATTTGCAATGCGACATCGCTACGACAATAAGTGGATTAGTCTTCGATTTCTTCTCTAGTCTTATTGTCTGTGATGCACTCTACAACTTTAGAGGGATATTTGAGTGTATTTGGTAGTTTAGCATTGTATTCGACATTGCCATATGTATCTGGGGAGGCAACTTGCCCCCCAAGTCTCTGTACTCTATGGGTGTGTTTGGTTTCCTGGCTTGTTTTTGGCCTGGCTAGCCATCTAAGCCTCGACAGTCTAGGCCTGCTTCCACCAAGCCAATCTCCAGTTCTTTGGTTGTCTGCTTTACCTAAGCCTAAGCCTAAGCCTGGCTAGCAAATGGTGCGTTTCGTTGCCTGGTTTGCTTTGCATAGAATCACCTCTTCTTTGAGCTGGTAAGTTTACCTTCTTGAGACATTTTGTCGAACAGTTGGTGGGCATGCTCAACTGCAATCTTCTTCACTACATGAGCTAGTCGAGCGACGCCGCCGCCGCGCCGCATGCCCCAGTCGCGCGAGCCCCTGCCGCGCGATACCGCTCACGCCGCGAGAGCCCAAGAAGCGGTCGTGACAAAGGTATACCATGTCGCTACCGTGCACGTTGGTCGTCGTGAGTGCTTGATGTTGGGGTGCAGCGGTGTGGGGTGTGCTCTTGGAGCTCGGTGTGACACTCGGCGGATCGAGAGGTCCGACGGCCACGACTGAAGGGCTCGCTCCTGGAGCTTGGCGCGGCACTCGAAGGAGCGGGAGGTGTGGTGGCGAAGACCAAAGGGGCCGCTCTTGGAGGTTGGAGCTCAACTTAGCGCTCAGAGGAGCGGGAGGTGGGGCGACGAGGACTGAAGGGTGGGAGGTGAGGAAGTGTGGACCCGCGTCAAGATGTGAGGTTTGCGCGAGCCAAGCCAGGCTCCGCAAAAACGGACACCCTTTGCGTTTTTGTTAAGCCTGGCTAAGAGGTGTCGCTGGGCCTCAACCAGGCTACCAAACACTTCAAAGGTTGCATTGCGGAAGCCTGACAAGGATAGCGCAGGTTACTAAACACTGCCTATATATACCACCTAGAGAGGCTAAGAATGCAATCTATCAATCTATCCCACGCATTATACCCAATCTACCACGCTTTTCATTCTCAAATTTAAAAATAAACCGGAAGGGACATTGTAAGGTGAAAAAGGCAACTTGTAGTCCCTAGAAGATAGTATAACTGAATTCTTGTTACAAGGTTAGAATCTATGGTGAAATTGCCTATTGCACTCTACTAATGGTTGTGAAAAATTGAATGAGCTCTATTGGAGATGCTTCATCTACCCAGGGGGTATCCTCTGAGTAGCAAGCAAGCATTTTATTACTTGCCAACCTCCAAACATGGTGTAAATTAGTATTTGAATGCTCTTATAGCAAGAATATGGTATCTACTAACAGGAAAAAGAATAAACTAATTCAGGAGAATGAGAAGATGGTAATTAACTCACGTTTTTGAATCTCCGAATTTCCACCAGTCAGGTTCATACCATTGTTGCCACCTAAAACTGGCATTGACATCAAAATCACTTTGATAGCTGACTAACAAGAGGCAAAGAAATCCAAAATGAAATGCCACACACCCACGCAAAAACAGAAAAACAGTGATTATAGCCAAATTTTCACTATATCTGCACCCTCACAATAACAATCTACGCACCCACGAGACAAGCGCACCCTTCTCGAATTTACTCTTGCTGCGCGCCTGTACAGTGGTAGCACATAACGCATTAGTTGTTCATCAGAATTATTTGCTAACTAGATTGAACTGTCAAAAGAACTGACTACAAAAGGTTGCTAAAACATTTGCTCAGTGCATTCCACTACATGGCACAACTTTGCAAGGATTAAGCATCTCTACTGAATCAACAAAAAAAAAAAAGACTTCTACTTAAAAATGAGATGGCTTGGAGTTGGAGTCATAGAGATACCATACGCGCTAGGCTATCAGTAAATTAAAAACCTGATGATTAAGTAAAGACACATACTTTTTGTTTATGACAACCCCTGATTTCATACAACCCATATACAATCCTTGGCTACCTCGACGGCCTTCGAGCATCTCAATTAACCCAGCTGACAGAATAATTGCAAGAGGACAGTTTAAAATGAAGGGGCAAGATCAATAGAAGTACTGTATATCAGCACACACAGAGAACAGGAAAAAAGATACCTAAGTCAAGATTAATGTTATCCTCAACTTTGACATAGAATTCTGCATCCCAGCTTTCGACTGCGGCACTGAAGAAAAACTTTGCTTTGCTCGGTAATTCTTCTGCAGCCTCTTCATGACTTTCCTGCCCAATCCAAATGCTTACAGTTTCAAAGTTCATTGATAAAATGTATATGATCACATGGATCCAACCTAGTCTTTGATGGAAGCAAGAAAGGTCTAAACTCTAAAGTCTTGCTTACGTACTACAACTTGTGAAGGACAATTGAGAATATGAGATACTAGCTAATAGGACCTTACAAGAAGCAAGAAGTCCTTTGTCTGCCGATTTTCATCGTCAATATTACGGTCCAAGCTATCACCTCGATTTGCACTGCGGGTCCAAAAAGGTACACATAATCAATAAAACGAGAGATGGGAAATGGATTATATTTTTCTAATAGAAGAGAAAAGGAGAATGAAAATATTGTTAAATTCTGAACTAAGAACGATGCAATAACTCAAAGGTATAGATCCAGAACAAAACCTCCGACCAATAACAAAACGAATAACTACACCCTTTTCCTCAAGCTTCTTCAGAGCATCACCTGCAATTCACAGTGAAATAGAAGAATAGAGTTATAGTTATGAGTTGGAGAAAATCCTTGTTTACACAAAACAATTTTAGCCACACCATATTTATCCAGCATTTTAAATCAAATAATTTTGCAGTCTCTTCATCTACCAATCTCAAATTAGTAAAGATTTGTATCACAAGCAGTCTCTTCCACTACTTGGTGTTGTCAAGGGAAATTATTTCTATCGCTAGGAACTAGCGAAATTTAAAGAACAAGAGCAGCAAACCTCTTGGCATCCAGGAGCCACGGAAGACGTTCCTCTTGAGACGAGAGCCAAACCCAGTGTAAACACCAATGACAGCAAGAAGCTTCTGCTTCTTGTCGGAGTCGACAGCTGCAGTCCTGTTCCCCGCCAGGTACCCCTTGCTCTTGGCCTTGGTCACGTCCATCTCCGCCTCAACAATTTTCCTTCCAATCGCTCTGTCACCACGGCATTTCGAGTCAGCAAAGCAGAAAAGTAACACAACAACCGAAATTCACTTACAAAAAAACTGAAAACTCACTTGCATCCGAGGTTCCTAAGCATGTCCTCCACCGATAGCACCTTCGGGACCTGCAATCAGGTGCCGCCGTCAGGTCAAATCAAGAGAAGAATTGAAAATGCGAGTAGGCCGAGTGAAGAGGGGAGGAGAGATTCGCACGCTGCCAGAGCGCCTCTTCTCGAGGAGGCCGGACAGGATCGCCCGGGTCTGCGCGTCCTGCCACAACCTGAGACGGAGCCAGGGATACGATCAGGACTCCCTTTCGGGTGCTGGGTCGGAGTGTCTGGGATCTGAGCGGGTAGGGGGGACGTACCGGCCGGCGACGTAGAGCCAGGCGAGGCAGGAGAGAAAGGCCATGACGCTGACCCTGCCCGAGGCGAGGGCGGAGGCGGAGGACGGGGCCTTGGACCGGCGGTTCTCGCGCCGCATGGCGCTGGCCAGCGTCTCCAGGGCGGCGGAGGATATCTCCGACGTTGGGCTCTCGGCTCCTCCTGTCTGCTCTGCTCGCTGCCGTTAACCGAAAGGAAGGACTGAAGGAAGCTTCTCCATAGAAGGCGGGAAGCCCAGAACTGACGAAGTGAAAACACATGCCACCTAGCCGTGAGCCATAGAAGGCCGCAACTTTTTTCAGGAACATAGGGCTCTCAGCCTAGTTCAACGTGCTCATCGATGCCTGGCAAAAAAAATGTGGATCATCCAAGTCACATTAGCATGGCATACTCCTCCGGTTTGAATCGGAGTTTCGAACCAAACAAACTTTTCCTTAGAAAGATAGATGGAGCATTTTAGGCCAAACTTTCTATTCGCTTGTAGGATCTAGGCGGTTCGAGGGCAATGACTTGGATTAGCCCTACCATTTTTTCTTCAATTTACATGCTAATGCATAGTATAATATGACACTATGCACATCAACAAATTGTATTGTTCATAAAAAAAATAGATAAAAGATGCCACATCTCATGGTGCGGTGTTGTCTAGGAATCACATGCTGCCTTTAAGAGGCAAGAGGGTTAAAACAGTCATTTCATCTGCAAAACGAGACCTAAGAGTAAGTACACTAATGGCCATATCGCCCACAGTGAGAGAATAGGTACCTTGTCGCTATACGTGGCAATGAGCTAATCATGCGCATTGAGGCACTTCTTTCACCTGCTGGTCCCTATTACACTCAACTTTCTTATCTTATATGTGGTCCCATATAAACAAAAAAAAATATATGAACTAAAGAAAGAGACTAGTTATTGTATTCCTTAGGCTATCTATTGATGATTTGGATTTGGTTAGAAGCATGAGTGAGTTGCCTTGCAAAAAGTATTGCATAAGAATTGCCATGTGTGTTTGGTTGGAGGCACGTGCCCGAAAACTCAAATGAGAAAAAGGACTTGTTCCAATTTTGGATCACAATAGTAATTGTTTATATTAATATTATTTTATTGGTTCACGTTTAAAGAAAATAGCTCTAAAAACACTAGGAAATAAAATATATTAGTATCGCATAATATTTCCATATCCAATATTTATGTCTATGGAAAAAAAAGAAATAAAGGCAAACCGAATTTTCTATTGTAAGGATTGTTCTATGGACTTTTTTTTCGAATTACACAAGTAAATCTCTATGAACACCTTCAAAAGAGAGGTGCATCTCAAAATTGACGAAGTCACAATAAGCACCTCGCTATCGACAGAAACGTCGTTGTTAAATCATAAAATAAATCCAGAAAAACACGAGCATCCATGCCAAGTCGAGGACTTAACCCAGGTGGACAGGTTCCACCACAAAGAACCTAACGCATTGTTCTATGGACTTAATTAAGAGACCAATAGCACACAAAAAAAAGTTTATGCGCGGCGTCAGAAAGGTCTCCAAGGCTTCATCTAAACGATGCAGACAGCTTAGCTTGCGGGCAAGCTCTCATCCAGGCATATCACTTCCAGGTTCACATCAAACACGCCCGTACCGTGGTGTTGCCTGGGACTCATGCTAGGCAAAAGGGGCAAAATAGTCTTTCATCTATCAAATGAGACCTAAATAATAAACTCAGCATCATATAGGAAGCGGGAAAAAAAATTCTAGCCCACGGAGGAAAGCCTGTAAACTTCCAGTGTCATATAGGAAATATTCTACATTTGATTTGTCCGCTTTGTCTTGGACACCCAAGAGTATTTGGTCCATAAATCAATAACTTGCATGGCCCAAGGAAAAGGCGACGGTAATGTCAAATAAGGCAAAAGGTTAGAGCTGTCAAACAAAAAATCCAAAAAAAATTCAGAGTTACATAGTTAAGCACGTTTTCTTCCAGTCCAAATAAGGAATTTTCTCTTGTCTGTGCACAATGGAACATGATGAATGTTCTTGGTTGAAGTATACACCGCCCACCATAACATGAATGGATTCGTTGGTATGATCTTCAGAAATGCTTCAGGATGACCAGAAGGATTGTTGAGCGATCAGGAAAATGTGTCATTTGTCATTTCTTACCTTTTCGTGCAAGGTAGCGCTCTCGAGCTGCCTGGATTTTACTGTCCACCTCAGATTGTTTTACATCCATGTCTTTCTTCAACGTGTTCACTTGCTTATTCTCTACTAGAAGTTCAGAATCTTTCGGTGCACTCGAGCCACCACTGCGATGAGATACCGAATGTTGACTTTAGCTACCACCAGGTTTGCTGGATCACAGTTTGGAAATAATGCTTATAATTCAGAAATTTCTCACTTTACCTTAATCTGTTTACATCTAATTTCTCAAGCTTCTTTAATATAGGCTCAACCCAGGCTTGCTCGACGGCACAGATATTTCTCATGTATGGACGAGTTGTACTTATCAGCTCATGATAAATAACATACATTGGGAAACTTCCCATACTCATCACCTTCCAGTACAGAAGATGGATGCACCTGCAAAGAAGTTCAACAAAATTCTCAAACAACATAATGTGAAGAGAAGTCATGAATAAGTTTGACAGGATGATTAAATATGTGATTAAAAGCTTAATTTGTGTTATTTATACCACAAGCTTTGCTCAGATATGATTAAGTGTGGCACTGTGGGTGTGCTCAGATATGATATGCCTAACGTTTTAGTATATCTAAACTACTCTGAAAGTGGGCACACTAGCAAGCAGCTTGTTGTCAAGATGTGGCACACCAAGAAACAATTTAAGGAGCTATCAGCAGTTTCTTTGGCTCCTATGTCCAGTAGAAACAAGGGACAAAAAAGCATGCAAATTTTCACCTTGAGTGGTGCTGATCATATAAGTATAATAATTTCTCGAATATGTAGGAGTGTTGTGTATCATTGCATTGAGAATAAAGGAGAGTACAAAACACAAACACCACCCACCACACCCTCACCCAAATAAAGTTACAAGTACAATAATGGTTCAGGATTATTCGTCTCCCTTAATTTTCGGGCAGCTCAACATTACAATAAGCTAAATCTGACAAAGAAATTACACGATTACATACCTGTACAAGTTGGGTCCTATAGCCAACAGTATGGTAGCCATTGTGATGCAGCATCCTCTCAGCTAGCTGGTTACCATATCCTACGCAGAGAGCTCTCCTCAGCTTTCTATAGTCAGGGTCACTCTTCTGGCTTTTCCTTGCATGCACATCAGTTGAACCTAAATTTAACAACATTTCAAGTTAACTTATGTGGACCGGTTTTCCCGAGATGACACTATAGGAATCAAAGGACACTTAGGATTAAAAAAACATGGACAATTTACAGCAATCCCACTAAGTGACAACTGATGACGCAGCAATAAAAAATAAAGAAAACTCGACCGGGGGGGTTAAGACTACCCCCGCAGCATTTCAAATAAGAAGAAGGACCTTCTCACCCGGCCGAGAAAACCCCCGAACCCCCGCCCCCACCATTACACGGTGGCTTTCCGTCGCCCAAGTGAGAATTGGGCCGGTGCCCCCCCAGTGCTTTGGTTATGGGGACGGACGAGGGGATTTTTTTAACCTCAGCCTGAAATTCGCTCCCACGAGGAGTCGAACTCAGGACCTGAGGAGTGCCGCCAGGTCACCTAACCGTTTGAGCTAGGCGTCCTTTGGCACAATAAAAAATAATGGCATTTGGCATTTCCAAATATCACATTTCTGTGTTCTTTTTTAATATCCGACAGACTGACCTCGTGCTTACATTTCAGCAACAAGCAAACCTTAGTTAAATGACTAAAAAACCAGATATCTCAGATAACTAAAGTGAGCTCTGGGTATTTAAGGACTAATCATCAGTATTTGTGTATTACCCTGAGTAATCACTTGTACATCTCCTTAGTTCCTATTTCCATTTATACGACCTTTTTATTTTTTTAAGCTGTTATTAGGATCAAGACAAATTAACAAAACCTACAGTTTCCTAGACTCTAATTGACCAACAGAGGGCACCTATGCTACATAAATGGCAGTTTTGAAGCACCTCTTTTAGGTAATAATCTTTATAAAACAAGATAGGAACTACTACTAATACTATTAGAACAACAACAAAACCTTCTATGGGGTGCATCATTAGTTCAACCTATGAATTTGTTAGAATGACGATGACCCCATTCCTCGTGCTTACACTAATTATTAGCTTGTGAGGGATGAAGTTGTGATGGATCAACTCATTCAATTCCACTAACCAAACAAAAATGTAAGGAGTGAGAAGACGATGAATCACCCCCATTCTCACACCAAACACTATATTAGTCCCCAGTAAGTAGGGGTACACTAGAGTTGAAACCCAACATGAGCCATCAAATATATAGATGGCAACAATAGTGATATATTAATAGGGATTTTTAAAGCCTATTCATGGTCCAGGCACTTGAAGAAGTGTTTTCTATGCAATCCTATCAAAACTGAAACTACAAATTAGCTTATGAAGATGAAGCTTAAAACAGTTTCAAAACTAGGCATGCAAGTTTTGCTTCCTCTGGATAAGTGGGTTGACCCAAATTGGACCAATCCAGATTTCAATGCAACAGAAATGGCATGAAAATGAACTAGCTAGCTGACGCACTAGTGTCACCACTTGCACTACTCTATCACTGATCTTTGGAAGGGATCTGCTTTATCATTGATTTAAGGATTGAAGATAAAAATAAAAGCTAGAGAATTGACCTTTTGCAATTTTTTTAATAATCTGGCATAGTTGGTTCCTCACATCTTTGCTCAATTTCATACTCCGCACCTGCAAAAGATGGACAATATTAATACATATAAGGCGATAAAATACAATTAATGTCTTCAAAACATATATATTTGATGCAAATTAATAAAGTTGGGCCATTTTCCAGTTTCAAAAAACAAGTTGGGCCATTATCCTTCGGTAAATGCAAGCATACAAATATGGTTACCAGTGTTTTAACCTGCTGCATTCCTGGATTTAAAATTTTAAAGTTCACAATTATTTATGGTAGCTGTAAGTAGCAAATCATAATATAACTGGAAAGCTGAAGGAGCATGGGCAAAAGTCACAAACAAGAATACAGTAAAAAGTTATGATAGTAGAATCCTTTCAAAAATGTTAAAGGAATTATCATCAATATGATGTCCGTAGAGTAGCCTTGCATGGATATAAAGTTGTCTTTCATAAATGTGTAACCCCAATCTTCAAGACTAAAAAATAAAAGGCACAGGATCCTTATATTTGGACAGATAACTGAAGATTATAGATTGTTTCTAATCTTATAGATTCATTTCTGTTGAGCATTCCCTTTTGTACTGAGAAATCAGATGAAAGTTATGGGCATGATTTCTACCATGAAACCACACAATGACAATCATGAGGGTATTTTGTGGAAAACTCAGGTGATGTCTTTTGTTCCTTGTCTTGAGTAATTGAAGATGATTGCATCTACTTTTACTAACTACGCTAGCATAAGTCTTGTTTATTAAATATATTAGAAACATGTTCTTTTCAGTCACCTGCAAATCATGATCAGAGCACCATTTTGGATCATAACCAGACTGATCCCAGCTTTCGAATATCTGAAGCAATTGTATATGGTCACCCCAGCCAGAACCATCAGGAAGCTCCTGCCTTTTCCTCTTCCCATCCATGTCCTTGCTGTATATATAAGTCCAGGTTTTATATCATTAAGCATGAATTTAGTACAGTGGATGAGATGAGAGGGAGGGGGGTCACCTAGCTGATCGCAATGTGATTTCTGCTGACAAAATCGAAGCAACAGTTAATGCCTGAGACAGGCATCCCAATTCATTTGCTTCAATCAAGGTCCTTGAAAGAGACGGTTCAAGAGGGAGCTCTGTACAAATTCTATCCTTAGACAACCAAATTAGGAGATTCAAAAGTGAGTGGGCCCAAGTAAACTTATCCAATATCGGCCCTATTTGTTTCCGCTTATAATCGGATTCTCAGTGAAAAAGCGAGAATCCCACCAAATGCTTCGATTATTTCTGATTTCTTCACTGCCGCTTCAGAACTTTGAACTAGCACAATCGAGGATCGAAAATATCCCCACAGTACGATGATTATAAGTGGATACAAACAGGGCCATAAACAGTTCATAGGTTTCGTTCCTTGATAGCTGAGGTGTTACCAGCATTTTCACGATTAAAAACTCAAATAAAAGCTTATGTGGTGCATGATTGCACATCAGAGAAATCAGAGAAAATATAAACATTCTACAACTACTTCACATAAATGTTCGCTCACTGCTAAATTAAACTCTACTCCCACAACCACAATTAAATGCTCCTTTTAGGATCCCTAAATCGTGATCCTATGTGTAGTTTATTGTGGTAGTCTGTTAGCTATGATTCATGATTCCATTGTGATACAGGAACTTGTAGCATATTACCATGTGCAAGGAGGCAATTGAACCAGCTACTTACATCATCTGTAATGTGAAAATTGTATAATACTATAATACCCCATCACTATGCTCATAAAGCAATCACCCTTGCACAAGAGAAGGGGCCGGGGGCAATGACATGTTTCTGATTTGATTAGAATTACATTGATGCGTGGAATATTTAAATTACTCATTAAACAGCAATATTAATATACATTGCATTATGCTTGAGACGTACGTAAAGAATTCAAGGTATGTTAACATTGAAAGGTATAAACCCCAAGTGATATATGCACTACGTCCCCTGTTGCTCAATCAGTAAGGATTCAAGTACACAATACTAAAGGCAAAAACTAGAACTTGAAACTGCAGAGAATTGACATGACAAGCACATTCAAAGCTCAAGATGACAGCACTATATTATAATGTCATGTGCAACTTATACGGTTTGATACTTCAAAGTAGAGGAATATTTTATATTAGATTTGCCCACATTTCAGGTTAAAAGGACAAAAAAAAGGTCTGCAATAGCTCAAGAAGGCTTTGAACAACCATTTAATTTCAATGGAAACAAGACAGGCTTGGTATACCTGCCATAACTCGTCCAACATCTGTTATTTGCCCGTTTTCATCAATTGCATCAATGAGGTATAATTGCCTCAAAGCATCTTCTAATGACTCACCTGCAAACCATTTGTGAATTTAAAAAAAGCTGGCAGAAGTCACAACATAATTTTCGATTGTATTTATTTCAAGGCACCAAATGGCTCCCCTTTTGGCTATTTATATCTTTTGTAGGACAGTTTTGCACATTCATGTTATTGGTATAATGCCCATGGGCCAAGCAGCCCAGCAACCCAGCCCAACCCAGAGGCAGTAGCCACCACCTATACGTGTTGCAGCAACCGGAGGGTGCGGCTGGCATGCTGCAACCTCCATACCCCTCAAATTCAGGGCCGCCAACAAGTTATCAGTACTAGAGAATAGAGAATAAGAGATAGGCTTGTGACGAAAGCTTGAATTGAATTAAACAGGATGGATCATATCTATAAAAAAAACCCATATTTTAGATGTATCCATATGGATTAACCAGAAAAGTGATTTTTCCTCAAAGTTCTCTCTCACTCTCCTTTGCGCTGCCACCAGCCCCTGTCCAAGCTGAAGCCACCGCCTCACCAAGTCTGGGCAAACCATCACGAGTCGCCAGCAATGAAAACAATCGCGCCACCATACCACCCATCACAACTACAATCTCCAAGAGATTCCCTCCCCTAAGCAGCCCGTAACAATTCAAAAGTGACATGAGTAGAGTCGTCGCAAAAGTAGTTTCTTCACCGGACTTCATAGTAATAACATAATATTTGCAATGCTTTAGAAAACAGTAAGTACAAATTAGCCATCGAACTCCGCACATAATAAGTAACTAGACAACAATTAGATGCGTCACGGGCAGATCCAGAAGAATAATTGAAACAATAAGAATCTGAAGTTTTATCTTACGTGATGGTGGATCTAGAAAATCAAACTTCAGTACGTTGATGTCTGGAAGATTTAACGATTTCAGATACAGAACACTTCCAGCAAGAGAAGTGCGTTGAATTTCAGGAACTGTTGCCTCAAGAAACTCATTCTGATATATGGAAATTGGGTATAGCCTATAGCACTTGCCGGGCCGAGTTCTTCCAGCTCGCCCTGCTCGCTGATCAGCCTGCACTCTAGTTATTCAATAAAATTCTCAGTACAGGTTAGCATCCAAAACTAGACATATGAATGGAAGTAATATGATAGTGAACAAAGTGCATAAAAAAAAAAGAGACTGCATGTGCCAAATTATATACCTGCTGATTTGGACTACATCAAGTGAATACATTCCACTTGATGGATTGTATTGGCGCTGCTTTACATAACCACAATCAATCACGAACCTAAAGAAATAAGAAATTGTATTGTTAATATCTTTGTGCAAACTTAGAAAAACAGAACACCTCATGGGAAAAAAGATATACAGCCACTTTAAGTTTTCAACAACTTTGTAAGAAAAATTACGAAGCTTGATAGTCAGTCGGGCAGTTGCTCACTCTCCTATATATCAACAGCTAAAGTTTCCTGTATCACTTCATGGATCCTGATTATCATATTTCTAGTTAAAGCAGCCCCTCTTTTCATAAAACTATCATGTTCATGCGAAATTCTGTTTTAAACTATTTACTAGTGAGGGGACCTACAGTGAAGAATTTATGTTTCTCCACACTCCATCCAAGCTATTAGAATGTAAAATATCTTTGGTGACTCCAAAATGTCATATGGAGCCCAGGATGATTTAATCATGATAAATATATCTAAGATTTTAGTTCCACCTTGGTCTGTAGACATCAAACTGTTGGAGAACTAACAGAAAAGTAGTACTCAGCAATTACGTATAAACAAAAACAAATCACATTAACAAGTTTGCTGCATCAACTTTAAACAGTTCTACATGCACTCACAAGTCCTTCAAGTAAATTTTGACATTTAAACTACATGTATTTTAGACAGTGACACAACAACAGCTTACTTGATTTATAAATATAACTAGCGCTGTTGATAAAGCGGAATGAGTTGTATGAAATTAATGGCTTCACAGAAAAATGAGTGATGCTTCAGATAAACATATCTTTATTCTAAATAATAAAGTAAATATGTCAGCATTTCTTATTATATTAGCAGAGTAGTTCATGTCGCTCCATTCTATTGCTAGCATATTATTTTTCATGCGTAGTCACAAACAAGTCAGATTGCAATGTTCACTCCATTTAAATACAATCTGAAGATGGAAACAAAAAGCACATGCTTCTCAACTGATTATGTTTGCTTCTTACACGACACCATCTACAGTCAGCGAAGTTTCAGCAACATTTGTTGCAACAATGAAGCGTCGGCAGTTTGGAGGTGCAGGAGCAAATACCCTAACCTATATGAGAAGTGCGCAAAATCAGAAATGCTGCAGGGCATGAAATGTTAAGCAAGAAAGAGAAACAAAAGTGAAGGATAGCAGAGCTATCAAATCAAAAAAAAAAGTACAGTATTTATCCTGTAAGACTACATAAAAGTTTGGTTGGAAAGCTGAGAGGTGCAAATCAAATGTGCAAGGCTAGGAACTTGCCTGCAGCTCAGGTGGCAAAGAACCATGAAGAGGAAGGACAAGAGCATCAATGCAGGAGCCTTCCTCAAGATTTTGAATTCTTTCCTCCAATTTTGAGACCATCTTGTCAATATCATCCTGCGCCAATCTCAAATAACCACAATTCAGCATAAGCACTCAACATATTTAATAAAAGAAAAGGAATAGACACTACTCGAATGGGGAGCTGCATAAATAAAGAATACACATTAGTAAGTATCAATGACAGTTACCTTTACAAGTTTACCATAAAATAGTAAATTAATAGTTAATACAATATAGGTTTCCACATTAATCCAACAAGAAAAGAAAACTAGAACTTCTTCTGTTAATAAAAAAATATCTGCAAATTCCTAAATTTATATTTAGTACTAAACCATCTCTCCAAAACAAACTGATTTGTAGAAAAAAGATTTGTCCCACAAAGAGTTGATTTTTAGACTCACCCCCATTAACTCGAGAACAAAAGCACACATTTATGATTCTCAATCCTTCACCCAGGTGCAACAACAATTAAATTGATCTTGGGCAAGCAAAAGGTCACCACCACTCTGGTGCAACAACAATTTTGGTCTTTTCCCCCTCCATGCTATTTTGTCGGAGATGTGGGTCTTTCCCCCACCATACTATTTTGCCGGAGATGCGCTAGAAATTAACTTATTTTGGGATGGAGGGTGTACAGCTAAAAAATATAAATTCCTACATTGATCACAAAACTACTTTTAAATAAAGAAACTAGAAATTACATTGTTAATACAAGGAAATATATTTGATCAAGGCCATGGTAATTGGCACGACTACAGAATATACTTACAGATTGCAAAAAGAGAAAGGAAAAAGAAATAAACAATGACAGATATTGAGGTACTGACCTTTCCTGTCATAAATATTAAGACATCCCCAGGAGGTTCCTTGGCATGGATATCTGACAACAAACATTTTCTGTTTTGTTAGTGAAAGAAATGAAATTTTAAAAAGTTTAAGGTACAAAAAATGCATAACTAATTTTTTTTAAAAAAAAACTAACTATAATATTCCCATATGTGGTATCAGAAAAGAGGTATGAGACTTTGAATCATAGTCTCATTAAAACTTTCTCTATTTCTATCGAATACACAGGAGATCTGCGTATCATAACCATGTGCAACGACCAAACACTACATATGCATACAACAACAACAACAACAAAGCCTTTAAGTCCCAAACAAGTTGGGGTAGGCTAGAGTTGAAACCCAGCAGAAGCAATCAAGGTTCAGGCACGTGAATAGCTGTTTTCCAAGCACTCCTATCTAAGGCTAAGTCTTTGGGTATATTCCAAACACTACATATGCATAATTCAGATTTTTTTTTCAAGGTTTCCAAAATATAATGCTAAAAATGAAGAAAGTACCTAGGTTCAATTGAATTGTTAGGAAAGTATCAGGGGTTGTGAGATCCTAATATTTGTAATGCTATTCCACATTGTTTTATACTCAGCTGTTAAGCAATAAAGAGAATTTCTTCCTTACTCTTTCCTCCCTATCGAACAACTTCACAGTAAAGAGTGTCCAGGGTGAAGGGCAGCAACCCAGTTTCCTTCTTACCACTGTAATGACCACTCTTATTCATGCCACATGACAAAACAAGCCGTGACTTTTGTCAGAAATATTATCTCTATAACCTTATTAGCAATTATTATTAAGTTTCTGACTAGTGCAAAGCGAAAGCAGGAAAAAGATGCACTAACAATATTGGCATGAACAAATCCCAAAAGCTTAAAACTGCAAAAGGTTACAAAAAAAAATGCTTCTTACCTATAGCTGTTCTGAGTGAAGATTCTATATAATTTGTTGGGCGTTCAGTGCTGTAAAATTTCTCCACAGGGAACAAAGTTCCAGGTATGTTTAACACAGGGCATCCTGAGAAGAACTTCGAAACTTTTAAACCGTCAAGAGTTGCAGAGGTGATTAGAACTTTTAAATCTGAGGCTCGGTCCTTGATCAATCTTTTCATCAAACCTAAAAGGATATCACTGTAATGGTATAACCAGATAATAAGTATTAAAATGAGCCCATGCAAACAGTTTGCATAAATACCTACACATATCATCCACTGTAACAGCACTCAACTTAAAAAGAAGAGAGCAACACTGAATATCTATCATCATCCCAGAACTAAATGTTAGCCTTCGGTTTCTTCTCTAGTCTCACCGTCTTCAATACTCCCACTACAACTGCGGGGCGATGTTAAAGTATATTTGGTAGTAAGGGATATTGTAATCCCGTATTGCCACATGTACGTGCTACACAGCAAGACAAGAACTGCTACAACAAAGATAAGTAGGTGCGCCAAATGATCTGACAGACCCTGAACCTTTTATCTATAAGAATCCTATGGTAGTGTGTAGCAAACAAGAAAACAGAGTATATGACATGCTAACGGTAAAATAATACATTTAAACTCTAAGACGTGTCCATATTATAGTAGTTGACACAATTGTCAAGTAAACGGATTGGAAAATAGTGGCCATGAATATATGTAAAGAAACATGCTACCAAGCTAGTTTCAAATTGACTCAAGTAGAAATAATTCAGATATAAATCACCATACGTGTTTAAACTACGCTCGTGAGCTTCATCCAGTATGATTACTGAGTATTGCTTCAACTCAGGATTTGAAAGGCTTTCACGAAGGAGAACGCCGTCCGTGAGGTACCTGTAAAAACAAGTAAGAATTTAAATCCACGAATTTAGCATCAGTGCACCTCCAGTGGTTATTGAGCTTGGTACGTTACTGCAGCTGGATTAGAAGAAATTCAAGCTATCCAATTTTTCAGAGGCTTACTTTATGCATGTTCTTTCTGAAGTTCTGTCCTCAAATCGGATTGCATAACCAACTTCATCCCCAAGTGGAACACCAAGCTCTTGAGCTACTCTTCTGCGAAATAATAAAAAAGTGCTCTTACTCACAAAAACAGTTACATACATGTTTTGTACTTTTAACAACATAGTAACTGAAATAACTTTCAATAGTGAGTAATAATAAAAGAACTAAAACAGAATTCCATGCAGCTAAATTGAGAATGGATAGTTGACCAACCAGGAAGGAACCCATTCAGCAAAATCAAGATTCGAGAGTAGTTGGTCAACCAGAAGAACTACTTAATGAATCCTCACACAATAGTTCCTTCTAGTATTTTAACAACATAGTAACTGGAATAACTTTCAACAGTGAGTAATAATAAAAGAACTAAAACAGAATCCCATGCAGTTGAATTGAGAATGGATAGCTGATCAACCAGGAAGAAACCCATTCAGCAAAATCAAGATTCGAGAGTAGTTGGTCAACCAGAAGAACTACTTAATGAATCCTCACACAATAGTTCTTTCTAAGTTTTGTTTATTTCTTGGTGATAATTTCGGTAAAAACAAAATCAATGCGCTATCCAACATGGAGCTCCACTGAACTCACAGCACGATGAGATTTCGGATATTTACCAGGCCATTTAGGTGTCAATTGAATCCTACAAGGAGTCTCCTTTATAAAAATGTAAAGGCAGTTCCAATCCCAATTCATAAACCCTTCCAACTGCCCAGCTGCGACCCACACAGCAAAAAGCATGCCTCGCGCACGTGATAGAGCAAGAAAGGTAATGAGAAGAGGAACCTGGAAACGGAGACCGCAGCGACGCGGCGGGGCTGGGTGACGGCGATGGCGCCCCGACGGGTGTATCCGCGGCGGTGGAGGATCTGTGAGAGCTGAGTGCTCTTGCCAGAGCCGGTCTCGCCGATGACCACCACCACAGGGTTCGCGTCCACCGCGGCGACTATCTCGTCCTCGTGCTCCGAGATCGGCAGCACTGGCGGCGGCGGAGATGGCGACGGCATCGCGTTCGGTTCGGCCGCCGGGCACCAGGGCGCTCGCGTGTCTTCTTCTCCGCTTGGGCTAGGTGCATGTGTTTGGGCTGGGTGTGCGTAGATGGCCAAATGGGCCCGACACGGACCGGGCCTCAGTGCCGCCGTCTCCATAAAATGCCCACGATTCTACCGCCGATCATCTAGCCCGCGGCGCCGGCCACCGAACGCAACCTCCCGCCGGAACTGCCTCCACCGCCTCCCCTTCACTACGGCCGCCTTCGACGCGCTGCGCTGCCCTCTCCTCGAAACCCTCGTCCGCACGCCGGCGGGTCCGACTTTGTCGTCCCTCCGTCCACCGCTGCCGTACCGTTGTAAGGCCCTCGTCCTCCACTGGCAACGCCCAGATCTCTACGGAGTATTCCGTAGCGTACTCTGGTCCTAGTAGTTTGGTTCTCCTTGTAGGTAATGGTTAGTTTGTTTTCTTTCTAGACAATTAGTAATCTATCAGAGTCTGTGAGGTGTTGGAGAGCAGTCTAGGTTGCCTCTTTTGATTATCTGTAGGGGTTACTACTTAGTATGTGGTTTTGGCACCCACACCACCGCCTGTTGTAAGTCATTGGTAATGTATAACTGCAACTGCTCTGTCACCATGCGTTACATCTCTAGTATGGTTACCTTTTCCTTTTTGAGGAGCTTGGTGATTTGAAATTCTTTCCAAGTCATAAATAGGAACTAATACAGACTTTTGGAAATGATTTAATTGTATGAGATATACTACATATATATTTTTCTTATGCTTTTCCTCTGCAATTAGAAGGCCTGCCAATAATAGAAAGTGTAGCATGCATGTCCATTTTACCTGCTCATGTACCATGGTCTATTCTCTCCCAACCGGCCCGAGGCAGCCAAACATAACCTGAGAGACAGGGCAATCAGTTAATTCGGTTGCTGTTTGTTTAAACTTGCCTGTTCTTGATTTCTCTGTAGGGGTTGATATTTCCTCATGGGAGAACCGGTGCCTATGAAGGTGGTGCCTATTAGGGTGCTCTTTGAGACACCATCTGGCTTCGCATTCTTTGGCTTTAATGGAGACTATGTCAATGTCGAAAACCTGCTTGAGGTACTTGCTTGATGATCAAGCTTGTCAGTGATGTCACTACTTGTTTTTTTTTAATTTATATGTCAATGATCAAAATATTCATTTTTTATGCATTCATATTTGCAGATTATCTGGACATATTTGGCCGACAGTACCACAGCGGAACTGGTTAGCATTAATCATCTCATCCTTTGCTTTGTTTGATTCTTTCTCTTGGGGTGGTACCTGGATCTAGTTAGTTAATTCATTAATGTCTGGAATTGGCCTGCTGGTCACCTCTGTTTGTGATGAATTCTGGTTCTTTCTTTCATTTTTATAGGGTTCAAACATATCTTGTGCTACATGCCTGCAACCAAATAAAGCTATGTTGTGTTCGTACCATGCCATGATTGCTTTGTGGCTAATAGCTGCTGCTTCTGCTTATAAATTTATCAAGCATTGCTACATATATTGCTTCAGTCCTTGTAGCAGCCACTATCTTTCCATGTATGATACCTAATTTCTCTGTACTGTTGTAGGCTATGACCTACCCCCATCAATGTTGCAAATTGACAGATCTACATAATTTGGGACATGTCAAATTTAGGGCCTTTGCAAACCAGTAAATGTATTGACATTCCATTCGCTGCTCAGTCCAAAGTCATACACCGTATTAAATTAAGTTGTTTCAGTTGTCAATACGAACCTTCATAAGCTTACTGCAAACCTTATAATTCAGAAACACGTATATTGTGTGCACTTTTTTGCAAATTTGGGCTGCTAGGCCTTGCAATGGGCCATGGACTGAATGTTTGTGTTTCTGTATTGGTTGTTTGGTATTTGACCTAGTTCCTGTAAAACCTATAAAGGTGAGGGTAAGGCTTGCCACTAACACCCTTCCCCAGACCCCGCACAGAGCGGGAGCTCTCTACACTGGGTACGCCCTGTAAAACCTATAACTACAATGTCTGATAGGCCTAACTGCAAAGAAATGTTTGTTCCGTAAGATGGTAAATGAAAATGGTCAGACCCACATGAGGTTTAAGAATAAGTGTTTGAAAATATATTAAGCTCAATTCATTAGAGATGTTCTATATCAGTTTGTTTGCAAAATTATTTGGAATGCATGTTGGGACACCATTTGTTCAGTTAGATTACATTTCTTATCCACCTGAAGGTTTGATGTGATGGTAGACAAAATATGCCATTGGTAATGATCTAGATCAAGTTTGATAGAAAGCAACTCCAGAACAAACCATAGAATGCAGTTGAGATGATAGAATTAAAACACAATTCCTATGAACATAGAATTTCCATCATCATTCTGCAAGTTTATTTGTCTGTAAAAACAAAAGTGGATGCCTCAAGTCTCATGATCCATTTGTGATTAACACATTCCATTTAGCTAAAGTTGAGACAGAAATATAAAGTTAGACAGTTTGGGAAAGGCGGTAATCTCCATTAGGAACAGAATGTCAACTTTGTACTGTCACAAATTGTTTTAAAGAAACGTACTGGATCTGGCTTCGACAAGTTTCTCCTTTCCATGTTATGCTCATAATTCTGCATGTCTTTGGCAGGCCATCTGGCCGTTGGAGTTCGAGAAGTTTGAAAACAAGTCAGATGCCATTGGAACTTCTGGTATTGATGACCGCATCACCAAGATGATCACAAATTGGTATTGTAGTGGGGAGACAATTCCTGTTGGAAAGAGTGAACATAAACTGGCTATTGAAACAGACTGGTCAGCCTTAGCACCCTTTTCTTGCTTCTACTTGTGCAACATATATCAATGCATTCAAAATCTGCTGTGTATTTGACAGAAAATAGCCTGCCACTGTGATGAAGTTGCGTTTGAAGTGATGTGGGGCCTGGAAAACCACTTGCAGATTTTAGTGCCTGATGAGGAATTAGAGCTACGTGAGGAGGACCGTAAGTATAGGAGCCAAGGATTACATATGTTCCTGCGAAGTCTTAATTATAACATCGAACCAGAGCTGGTGAGCACACTAGTCTTTACTGATGTCCAACGTTCAATTTTTCTGTTTTACTGCACCCTGTCATGTAAATTTATTCAATCCATGAATATCACCAAAGTTTATATTGCGATACTTCCTGGAATATCATACCAACTGTATGCTAAGCACTATGATATCAAAAAGGAAAAATGATCAATGTATCTCAGTATCACTTTTATTAAGTCGAAAAATCATCCATGTATCTCAGTATCATTTTTATTAAGTCCTCCCCGGTCAGTTCCTGTTTCATTTTTTGAGCGTATGCCCTCATGCCCTTGTATCCAGGTTAATGGACAGATTGCAGAAACAGCCTGCTTCATCTATCATTGTCTTGAAATTACAAGGAGCTGCTGCAGTGCTTGCGTATGGCTGGTTATCCTGAGAAGGAAAGCATTGACACACAGGGTTGGGATGCATTGAAATATGTGACAGCTGTTCAGATCATGTGTATGGATGAACATTCATCCAATCATTGTCAGGTTAATCATCTTGCTGTATTTTGAAATGTGGTTTTGCTACCATATGATGAGACCTTTTTCATTTGAGTGACAACTGTGTTCATCTCAGATGTTTTCAGTGGAGGAGCTGCAGAAGATAAATGGTGGTAAAGGGAAACATAAAGGGCTCATTAAGGATAATTTCATGGTGGTCTACCGAAGAGTGGTCGAAGTCAATCAAGTTAAAGTTGATAAGCTTAAAGAGTTGGATGTTTTGGTGAAGCAGGCGCATGAAAAGTCAGGAAGAGTTAGGAAGTTGCAAGAGGAGCTGGATAAGTCAGAAAGCATTGCAAAGAAGAGGAAGAGGGAGGCGTAAGGAGAGCTTTAGGGTGTCATCATTGGCATCGAAGTTTGGTGTTGATGTAGTTGACGAGTCCAAGGCTCTTAAAGCATTGCAAAGAAGAGAAAGAAGAGGGAGGCGTAAGGAGAGCTTTAGATATGAAGAGTCGTGATAGGTAGATGATAGGAAAGAAATAATATGTGATTGTACAAGATTTATCCTAAAGAAACCATCCATTGAAAATATGGTTTTGATATGTACAGTGTCAAACTTGACAAGTATAGAAATAGCTCATAGTTTCTCATTTGGGAATGATGTAAGACACTAGAATTTTATGGGAATTGCCTAAGGTATTCGAATGACAGATAATCTAATGTCTTGCATTGCACAAGTCACGTAACTACTACTTCCTCTGCCCCTTCTTAGGAGTTGTTTTAAGTTAGTCTTTTGTAAATTTCACCGAATCTATGCTATAAAGAGACAATTCTCTGTGAACCACTATAACAGATGTAACTTCTTCGTCAGCCACTGAAAAAGTTCTCGACCATCGCTTTGATTTTTGCAACCCCTCCAGGCCACTACCGTCAACTTTTCTGGTAACAACAGCTAACAGGAGATTGAAATGTCCCTTTTGCCCCTCTTATAGGTGGACCCCACGCGTCAGCTTTTCTTCTTCATCCTATCTTCTTCGAGCAGGCGAAGGAGGTGACGGACGAGTGCGGCCGCGTCCGGAGCCGCTCCATGTGCCGGACAGCGCGCTCGCAGTCCCCATTCCGAACGCACTGGCGGTCCACGTCCCACGCGCCTGTAGCAGCTGGTGCCGAAGCCGGAGTCCGCCGACGAGGCGCCGAAGCAGAGCGCACCGTCACCTTCTTCGTCTCCCGCGCCTGCGAAGGGGAGGGTTGGCGCGGCGGGCCACCGCAGCAGGAGGAGGTCGGCGCACGAGCGCCGTGCACGACCTGCTCCTCTTCGGCTGCATCGGGCTCGGCAACCGCAGCTACGGTGTCGTGCACGGCCTCGCCAGGGGGCTCAACGCCGCCATCGCGCAGACCTCCGCTCGGCTCGGCGGGGGCGTCCTTGTGCTGCTGCTGCTCCGGGCCGTACAGCGGCAGGGACGCCACGTCGACCCACGCCCCACCCCGTGCGAGGTTCCGGAG